CAAGAGGCATTTTAAGAGATGAAGCAGAGAAATGTAGGAGCAGCAGCATTCTACACTATGCTTACTAGTCTTTTAGGTGCCTGGCTCCATAAACAGTATAGTCAACTTCATCTTCAGTATAGACTTTGTTGCCCTTTCCATGTTCATCACAATTATTTACATCATCTGCTATTGCTAAATATTTTGCTACACCAATTATTTGCTGTCACAGACAACCACCAATTTAAAATGCAAGGTATATAGCCGCTTTTGACAGATGCTTCTCAACTAACTTTTTTAAGTCACCAAGGACAACAGTGTGATAGGAAATCACAATTATGAGTTACTCTGCATAGCTTGGGACATTATTGTCTGCATCCATTTTTCCTGAGTTTTTAAATCAGTTTTATAACATTTAGTAGCTCAGAGTAACATCAGAATTTAATCTATTACATGGTTAAAAGTGAGGTGGTGTAGAACACAACACTCTCTATTAATCTTTGCAAAGGTTTAGAGTGGCTTCCACAGAATCTGTATTAAATTTTTATAGATCTCTTTTTACTGTTTTTAACTCTATTAAATTCTTTGCAGCTGTTCAAAAACATTCTTCTTTTTTTTTCTTATCCTCAGCCCTTTCGTCTGACAGCTTTGTTGAATTTAAACTTCACAAAACTCTCTTCTCCTAAAAGGAGTCTTCTTGAAAGAGAAAAACAAAATATCCAGAGGCATATTTTTCATGAAATGTGACAATCCAGCCACAAAAGAAACATGTCTAGGAAGGAAGAGAATGCAGTGATAAAGATGGGGCATTAACTTTAATAATTCATTTGAGCAATGTTGTACTTTTTAGACATAAAGCACACAAAGACCATCTACAAGAGCTGATAAGCAAAGTAAAATCCATAACTGGTAAATTATTGAATTTCATGCTTCTATGGCTCAGTAAGCAATCATCCAAATGTTCTTGTACTACTCTTAAAGGTGACCATGGACAGTGACTCCTTATATGTGTTATAATTGATAAACAAAATTCTTAGTGAGAAAAAAGCAGGACATTAAGCTCTACATTTTTTTCACCTAAGTTTCAGAGAGAAGTGAATTTTGAACTGTTCTTCTGAGTAGTCACAGAAACAGGACTCTTTATTTAATTATCTAATCTAAATCCAGCCATCTGATGCAGTCTGGAATAAGCTACTGAAACCTGAAATTCTTTTCACAAGCTGAGATGAAAAAACTCTGTTTTATTTCTTTGTGGAAATGAAGATTTAGATTCATTATAAAACAAAGACATGGAGGAAGAAAAGAGGCTTTCACCATTTGTTTCTTATGACAGGGACAAATTCCCATGATTATGTGAAAAATATATGCAAAGGGAAGGGGGGAAATGTACTGTTTTGCACAGTATTTTTTTATTAAAATACCTTCTTTGATTTTTAGAGCAAGCTTGGAGGAACTCATGTTAAAGAGCAGAATTTTTTCATTTATTCCAAATTACCTTGAGATGTAATTTACTCTTCCATGTACACAGATCCTCAGGACACCACCAACAAACCCAAAGTAATTGAAGTGCATGATCTGTCACATGCACAACAACCATCTGCAAATACCAAACATAGATGCCTATTTGTATCTAGCAGATTAAATATCTATCTTTGCTTTTGGACAACAAAAGGAGTCATTTTAATGCAAAAGGAAGCAGTTTATTATAAGTATTCCATAGGGAGACATTAATTATCAAGCCTATGATAATGCAGATACTATAGATCATTGGTCTGCAGTACCTGAGCTTTCCTTCTACTTTGTTATAGCCAGTGTGGAGAACTTCCATGCAGATTAATTTGTCTCATCTTATGATATTAACTCTACACTCTTTAGATATTTGTGATATTATTAAAACTAGCATTTTCTGTGCCTTCTTTCAGTGCTAAAATCAATTATTCTAATAATTTTAATTCATTTGTTCAAAAATTTCAATGTTTCATGGAATTCTTTTATTACTATATTTATTAGGAAAAAATCAGAATTTATACCCTTATTATAACTGACTTTTTTTCCCCTTCCAAATTGCTCTCATCTTCTAATCCCTGGGTTTCAAAGACATAAAAACAGAAGTAAGCTTCTTTGCTTCCCATCCTCCTTTAAGCCTTGATATATTGCATATAGGTTTCCATTTGCCTGTCAAAAATCAAGCTAGCAAGCTTCCAGGTAAATCATTGCTTTTTCACAAAGTTAAAAAATTATGCACATTTTCAACTGCTCTATAAGAACCTACTCCATCAATATTTCACCAGTTAGATGTGCATGTTCAGCAGTAAGTACTATTAAAATATATTAGAATTATTAAACTGAAAGTAATTTCATAAGCACTAATATCAGAAACTAAATTTCTTATAAAGTAAATTAAAGTGGGCTTTCTTGGCTTGCTTGTGTGGAAAAATTAGCAAAAAGGAGTTCATTCTGAAACAGTTCTTGCTAGCCATCTTCTGCCCAACAGTGTATTCACTTGACAGCTTCATACTCTTGTGTCCTGAAAAACATTTCCAAAAACAGAGCTGGTGCTGAGTTCTTTCTTTTTTTGTGTATAGAGTTCACTAAATTTTTAATATCTCTATCCCTTCAGCACTAAAGGAATCTGATGTCCCTTCCCATAGTTATATTATTTCACTTAATCCACTCCGTCCAGATTAATGTGTTTTACTAGCAGCTAAGTAGATCTCAGAGACCCCAAAGATACTGACCTGGTTAGCAATCCTTGTTTATGGTCATATCAAATACTACCATGCAAGTGATGTATTTTCTCCACATATTATTTTAAGATAACACAGTGTTCGTAGAGTTAATACTTCATCATCTCATCTCAGTTAAGTCTTCAGAGACAAAAATTCACACTTTTCAAACAATTAAGGTTTTGAATATAAAGGTAATGTCAGCTGAGTAATATCCATTTATTTGTATTCTTTTCAGTAAAATTACTTGCAGACATCATAACTCAGTCCACCACTCCATAAAACCATTTTTTCATGAGATAATTTGCTAAATTCCTACAGAAAACTTCCTGTTAAATTCAAAAGTGAGATGAGAAGATGATAAAGTGCTTATATTCAAAAAATGGAAATTTATAAATTTAAACTATGCAACATGAAATTACTGGCAAATAACCTCTTTCTATCTCAGGATGTATAATTCCTCTTCATCACTGTCTATGTATTCTGCTTACTGAACCTTCTCCATTCTTCTTGCTTCTCATTTTTACATAGCAATATAGATCCTATCTCCTATCTATTGGATGCTTCTAATCAATTTTAGTATGGCACTAAAATAAATTATAATATAATTATATATAATAATTATATTTATAGCTCATAGCAATCTAAAAATAGAAGAGAATGTGTTGAGGGTGACCTGGCTTTTTTTGTCTGGTTGGTTTTGCTTTGGTTTGGTTTTGTTGTTGGTGGGGATTTTTTTCCTGGTGCATACCTCTCTTAATAAATCTTTCAGTTATTTACAATTCCACTTTTTATTAATATTTTCAGTCATAGATTCTATCAAGAAAGTATACTTTATGTTTTTCATAAGGTGTTCAAAGCTCAAAGGAAGTTTTTATTTTAGTATTATTTAGTTTTTTACTCATACTGTTCTGTCATATTTTCATTTTGAAGGAGAAAAGCTTTTCCATGAAGAGGCCAACTGACTTTGTTATGGAAAATAACAAAGTATCTTGTAGCTGAATCATGCTGTTCTTTGCATTTATCATCAAAAAGGAGGGAAAGGTTAAGGCTAGAGAGAAACTAGCTCTGAAACGTAAAACAAGACTAAGATGGAATGAAAGAACTAACAAAGGAAAACACATGCTGTGTCTACTTAATTGTTTCAAATTGAACTCCAAGTCCCCTGGCACTTGCACTAAGACTTGTCCATGTTTTTGGGTTGGTTTTTTTTTCCATTTGGAAATTCCACCTAGAAATTGTGAGGGCTTTTCTGAGTTTTCTGGATGTTGTCTTGCTGAAACAAAAACCCAATGCTTTCATCATAAGCAGCTGATCCTGTCACACATCCAGGAAGTTCTGAATCTCTGCAACATTCCTTCAACAAGGATCTGTACAAATGTGGGAAAGGCAGAGCACTTACTACAGTGACTAGACAGGTTCTTTGCACAGAGGATATACAGCTATTTTAACTGTTGTCCTAATCAGAAATACAGCTGCAGAAATACATGCATATATGTATATGAAACTACATAAAAGAAAAAAGAAGACAGTTTAAAATGGGCTTTAATATGATTCTACCTCCATGTACTGTTTAGCCAGTATGACCACATTTGATAACTGTGTCATACTGCAGATTAAGTAATTGTACAATACAGATATACAAATTTCTATCAAAAAAAGTAAAAAATTATTACATTCTGAGAAGTTGCTTTTACATATAACTTCAACAAATGCCCCAGAATACAAACAAAAGTGTAACCTTTCACATAAATATGGAACTTCCTGCAGATTCCTTCCTTCTGATTCTCTGGACTTCATCATAAAGAGTTTTGCAGAGAGAGATTATCCTCCTGATATTAATTTAGTGCCAAAAAAAAAAAAAAAGCCATCTCATTCTGTAAAGATATATGCATCTAAAACAGAACAGTCTGTATAACTGAGTAGAAATTGGTATCTAAAATCAGAAACAATTTTAAAAAATCTTGATTCTCCTTCTAGAAATTGGAAATAAATCAGTGCAAAAAACTAGACTTCTATCTACTCAATTTTATAGTAGAAGTAAAAGAAACATGATTTTCAAAAGCTCTGGCTTTCAAATGAAGCTACAAAGACACCCACAGAAAAACAGAAAATAAGATTCCTTAAAGATTGTAGTGGATTTACCCTGGTTTACAGACAGCCCCCAAAGCCTATCAGTCCCCTCTACAACTGGATAGGGAAGAGAAAATACATAGCAAAATGTTCATTAATTTCAAATTAATAGCTTTAGGAGCCAACACTTGGTCATTTTAGTCAATGTATATTTTCACTTACCAATGTCTTTAGGTCTATGTGATTTGATATTCTCATAATTCCTTTGCCTTCAAGAGTAGAGTGTTCAGTCTTCTTTTTTTAGCTGACATGTACTGGTTATCTTGGAAAATCAGCTCTGTGTGCTTGGATGCTCAAGACCAGCTGTCAAATCAGATATAAGCTGATAAAACAGTTCAAAGAGAAGAGCTAAGTCCATTAGCATACAGAAATTCATATCAGATAAACACATGTTGCATTCATGTTTCTGATAGGCACAGATATATTGGTGGCCCTATTTTTTGCTTTAATTTACCAACTTATCTGTCATCACTGAAGTACCTCTTTCAATTTAATAGTAAACAGACATTTCTAACAGTTTAAAAATGAAAAATGAAAGCAGTTTCTCTGTTCCCATTGAGCTAAAAACTTTGCTTCAATCACTCACTATGGACAAGTAAGCGTTGAAAAAATGCTCTGCTTTTCACTTGATGCCAACTGCATCAATTCAAATGGTCTTGCATCTCGTTTCTAACTTGAAGAAATAAAGGTAAAATGAATTTTAATTGAACGTCTTTGTTAATTTTTATATTTCAAATAAGAAAAAATAAGGCTGAAATTTGTAATAGAAGGAATGATGGAAAAATACATGCTATGATAAACTGAGAAAAGCTAGAGGAAGTAGCTAAGTTGAACAATGATAGGAACATTGAACTTAACAGAACCTTGCAATATAACAGCTGTGGTCACTCAGGAAAAAAAGGTACACATTCAGAAAAAGAAAAAATATCAAATCAAATAAAAAAAGAAATGTCAGGGAAAAAAAGTGGAGATCAGAATGTACAAAAAAAACCTCACACAGATTTCAAGACACACAAAACACAGACAAAAAAATGAAAGAAGGTGGTTGTGACTTTAATTTTTATATGGTAGTGTAAACACTTTACTGCTGTTTTAATTTAATTTGAGACCTATATTTAAATATATGAATTTTCCACTTTCCTTTTTTGATACACAGATTATATCTGATTAAATCTTGAAAAAAGCTCCCAGTTTTCCTTGTAGAGAGCAATGATTTAAAGTGATAAGAAAGAAATGTATCCTATTGATAGACTATCTAAAGTGTGGAAATTTGAGAGCTGCATATTTTTTACAATTTTTCATGTTCTTATAAACTTCAGGTAAGCTCAGCAACGTGAAACTTTTTAATGAGACCATTGTGACACTGTAAAGAATTTGACTACATTGGATCAGAGTTTACTTTAAAAAGCTAGCTTTTCCCCAATGTCATGTAATCTGTTATCTAGTGCCCCCCATGTGCTATATTATCAGGGACTCTACAGTGATTAGCTTCAAAATTTAATTAAAATGTAATTAATTTTATGCTTTGCTTGTTTAGCAGAGTTTTTTGTGAAAATAATCTATTAGATGAGGCTTGTATTTAACCACTGTTTTAATATCAACTGTTACTCAATGTTCTCTAAACTGTGAACTGTGCTCTGGCAGTAACAAGAAGGACCCCTATGAATGAAGACCCTGTCTATAGGGTAAAAGAGGAAACAGGCTGATTGAGTCAGCCTTGAAGGTTCCAAAATGATTGAAAGTCACACACTAGAAAATTAATTTTTTTATTTGTGCAAATAAAAAAAAAGTTGTTTATTTATTTGTGCAAATTAAAAAAAAAATTGTTTATTTACCCTGACTTGCAGCTTCTTGTGATTATAATTGTAATCTCATTGATTTATCTGTTTATTTTTATGCATAACAAGATCAGCATCACAGGTAGGCCTGGCTGCTGGTTGTCTTTTTCCACATGAAGTGAAGTTAGCCTCCATGTTCTGTCAAGACACCTTTTTCTGACTTTGATATGGCAAGAACTGAAGCAACACAACTAACATTGAAGACTTGGAGACATTCCAAAAAACTATGTGAATGAAATCTTAACACTTTAAAAAAGACAATTCAGCTGTAAACAAGGCACCAGCTTTAGATATTTTCATTCACATTTGTCCAATGTACCTTGAAACACCTGAGAGTCCTGTTACTGCATCTCCTTTGTAGTTAGGGGGTGAAATAGGACATAAGATTGAAGTTGCTTTCATCATCTTGGATGTCCTTCTTGCTAAAGATTAGGCAAGATGAGTCAAGGCCAATGACTTTAAAGTACTTGGGCAAGCCAAAATAGCACTTCTGTTAAAGATGTACTCAAGGTATTTCCTGATTATAGCATTTAGACAGGCTTTTAAACAAGCTAACAAATTTACTGTCCAGCTTTGAGCTACATGTTCCTGAGAACCCCTTGTGGATCATCAAACAAATTACATTATACATTTTTTATTAATTTCCTTCTAACATCTGGATGTACTTTTCAATTCCACTGCAGGAAGACACTCTCCCTGGAGAGTTGTCACACTGTTCCATTGCATCTATACATTTACACCCGGGGTTTTTTTCCATGACAATGCATTTGAGTCTCCCTGAAGGAAGGCCAGTGACATATACTGGGGAAAGTGACGCCTTCAAATAGCTAAATATTCTGACACAGTTTTACTGGGTTATCCTCAGAGATTATTTTTCTGAAGTGGCTGCAACAACTCCAGGATTTATGGACAAAAAACTGCCCAGTGCTGTGACTAAGTCTCAGCTGTTTTGGTAGAACTGAAAGGAGTATAAAATGTGCACAGTTCCTTTGAGTAGAGTTTAGAAGGAACAGTCTGTCAAGAAGCTGTCAATATTTTAAATAAATAGCATTTTACTTCACTCAAAGCAGTTCTAAATGGAACCCTGTTAAAAAGGAACCTCAGGAGCAAGACTCTGGAAATCCAAAAGCAATGAAAAGCACTTCATCCAGAGTGGCTGACCACTCTGACAAGGGCAAACAGATCTGCCAGCATCTTCCTACACTTAATTTCTCAGCTAGCCCCTTATCTATTCATGTCACATGTCCCAAAACCTCGCTCACTTAACTGGTATCTTTATTCTTCTCAATCACATTTTTCTGTTCCACATTTATTAGTTACCAGTTATAAGAACCACCCCCCCACCCCCAATTACTACATGCTTGTTCAACAAATAATATTTTAGAAAATAATTTGAATATTGTATGACTTTTCTGCCTCACTCAGTTGTAGTCCTTTTGGTTAAAACTCCTTAACAAAAACAGATTGGACCAACAATCTTTTTCCCATTTTCTGCCAAACTCTGGATTTAAGCTGACAGCACACAAATGCAAGCTGAATGAATTCCTATTGTATGGCCAGACTGCCATGAATGGCAAATTGAGACCTTTTGTATCTTTATCAGTAGCATTGTTTAATTCCCAGAATGCATAATTTATTTTAAAAAAACCCCAACAACAACACCAATACCGAAACTGTTATTTTCTGAGGAAATTTTACTGTAAAAACTTTTGACTACAAAATCTGCATTTCAGTCATCAGTCCTATTCAGATCTCCAGATTTTAAAGGAATTATTATTTTGATTGGTTGACATTTTAACAGCTTGCCTTTTCCAGGAACACAGCTCCTTATAAAGTTTGGGATTTTGAGAAGGCATTAAAATCATAGATATCTTCAACAAATATAGAGAAAATATGGTATTCAAGATAGTAAAACAACATGAAAACTTCTTCCTTGTGATTCTACAATATGTCATAGAGTCTTTTCACTAATTGGGAATATTAGAAATGTAGTATAACATTCCTTTAATCCTTGATCTACTTATTTCTGCTTTCATTATGCACTCTCAATATTCCTTTTTATCGTTTCAGTCAGTTGGCAAAGTTTTTTACTTTGCCATAGTATTTACATAGATGCCAAAGTATACTAACATATACTTAAAATTTGATTAAACTTTTCAGATTTAGTAGATGACTGGATTTTTTGACTATATTCTGCCTCTTTAAAAATCAAGTTAATTATGCAGTGAACTCATTTGAATTGCTTAGTTTGAACTTTAGATTTAGTTTAACTATAATAAGCAGCATTACTATAATAATCAGCAAGTTTAATGATCAGAGATTATTTTAATTTAAGGTTGACACTGATATTTTTACTGCCTCTGCACATGAAAAAGTATTTAGAAACTATTAGTCATGATGTATATTACTCTCAGGAAAAATAATTTAAAATTTTAGTGCATATTTAGATGATGTTGGTCAAGATCTACTTTTCCTTAGACTGACAAGGTGTCTTATCCTGGTAGTTGTCTGAGTTGATGAGGCATTTGAAAACAGACATAATGGTAGGTCTAGTAGTCTGACTGAAGTCATGATGCTTTTCGAATGCTTAAAATTAGTCACATGGTGAACTGTCTTAAACAGGATAATAGTGATTACAGTTATTATATTGTCATTTACAGATATGAAATCATCTCTGACTGGAATTTTTGAACTGGCCAGAAAAATACCTAAAGAGCATGCTGTTAAAAAATCTACTGGTTGAGAGTGGATGTAGATGAGCAAATTACATTTTTAGATTTTGAGATTATTTGATTGAATACGACAGATGTGTAGAAGAAAGGTGACTCTAAATAAGTTAAAATGTTGAAATATAAGCAATCTAAAGATCTAAAAATATGTATTGTTTTCCAAAAAGACCTTTAAAATGTGCTTAAACGGTGAGAATGTTTATATTACACAAGTAAACTCTGTATATATTAATATACACATATATTTCCAAGAATGTACCTTACTATTTTAGTTGCATATATTCATCTGATTCTATGACTCAAAAAATAAACATACTATGAGGGAAAAAAAAAAAAGTGGTTGTAAGATATTATATCATCCTATGTTCCAGAAAATTTATGAATTATTTTATTAAAATGTTTTCTAAGATTTTTGACTCCTGCTTTCAATCCACTTGATCCACTGAATCAACACAGAGATATACTCTACAACAGTAATCTCACCCCATTTCCAAAATGACTCTGAATCATGATATGAAAATTAATGTTTCTAGCAATATTTTCTCCCTTTCCTGTGTAGGTTCTGTAGCCTTTCATTAGGAACCAGTAACATACAAGATCATTTCTTATGATCTGCAACTCCTCTAAGGAGAGTCTAAATTTACTCAGCTATGTCTATACTAGAAAGTTATTTGTTGCATAAGTGGATAAAAGTACTTGGTGCTTAAATCCATATGCTTACAACCATGGTTTCTTCTTCAGATTAAA